CAGTAATTTTGTTAATTTTGACCAGCACTATTTCATAATTTTGGCCAGAACTTTGGGCATAAGAACTTAGCATCTAAACTAGCATATAAGAGATTTAAAACTGGCAAATTAATAGAACTGTACTAGCATCTTGCAAGTTTCTCATCAGTTTTATGACAGTTTCAGGTCACTACTATGACACTATCATAGCGTCAAGTTGGATTCTCAAATTACGTGTCCTAAAGATCAGCTAAAATTATGATATAATATCAGCTAAATTAAACATAAATTTACTGTATTACCTGACGTAATTTTTTACCACAATTTAACATTTAAATAGACAATCAAGCAGGCGCAAAGGGTAAGCACTTCAATATAGAATCCAGCATCCAATTAAATGCAGGAGGTCATTATTCTTAACATAAAATCAGATATCCAAACAGTTACAGAGGACCAACAACTTTATTATAAAATTTAGCATGTAAATGGCTCAGAAACAAGAAGAAAAGCGTGATATTTAAATTATATAATGGTAGTTAGATTAAATGGTGAGTGGTAGTTAGATTATATAGTGGTAAATTTAAAAGGATAGCTAGAGTATAAAAAAGATACCTGATACGTAAAAATAAATAGATTATATAATGGTAATTAGATTATATTATTTAGATTATATGGTGATAATTAGATTATATTATTTAGATCATATGGTAGTACTCAGATTATATGGTGGTATTTAGATCATATAATAGTACTCAGATTATATAGTGGTATTTAGATCATATAGTGGTACTCAGATTATATAGTAGTAATATAATCTAAGGCAAGTGGGATACTACCATATAATATAATTATATTATATGGTGGTATTCTACTGATATTACTGTTAATATATTATTAGAGTATTAACCTATATACTATTTTTTAATACTTTTTTTTATAAGAATTAAACATATTAAAAAAAGCAGAAATACTTATATAATTAATATAACTAATTACAATCAATTATAATTTATTATTTAAATAAAATTGTAACTTATAAAATTTAATTGTAATATTATCTTTAATTTTGATATAATATTATTATTTTATAGATTTTTTTAATAAAGTTTTAATATTATTTTACTAAATTTTATCTTTTAATATTTAAATAATTTATAAAATCTTAAGTTTTATCTATTAATCTTAGATATATTTTTATAATTATATAATTATTATATAATTATAAAAATTCCTATAATAATAATTATTTTTTAATTAAAATTTACAATAATTTTATATTATATATATTAGATTTATATAATAAATTAGTTAAATTCTTATCATTTAAATTAGTATTTCAATAATATTTTATAAATTAAGTTATTATTTTTAATATAATATTAATACTTTTGAAAAGTTAAAATTATTTATATTTTATAATATTGATTTTTTAATAAAAAGCTTATTTAATTTTAAATTTATTATTTTTTATATATAATATTAAAATAATTTTTATAATAAAATTAATAAAAATAATTTATTTATTGCATGTGTGATATTATTGCCTTTCTTTTGTCATCTGTATTACATTTTTTTATTTTTTTATTTTTCATATATATTCTGAAAACAGAAATTTTTATATGTGAAACCCTATTTATTATCTTAGTTAGTGTTATATGATTTAAAGGTTAAAGTAAACTAAGGTTAAAAGATATATATAAAGGTGATATATAAGAAGTATTACCTTTCCTGCAATGTATAAATTTACTCAATTAATAAAAAAAAAGGTTATTTTATAAGTTTATTATATTTATTATTAAATTTTAAATGAATTTTTTTTATTAATTTATAATAAAAATTATTATTTTTAAAATTTAAAATTATTTTAAGTTTTATAACTAAATTTTACTTTGATTATTTTCTTTTTTTTTTAGTAACAAAATTAATTTTAAGTTTTAAATATCTTTATTAATAATTTTTTTTAAGAAAAATAGCTAATATATAAAATATTTTTTTTAATTTGATTTAGTTTAATTTAATTTTGATTTAATATTTAATTAATTTAATTATTTAATTAATTATTTAATTTGAATAATTTAATTGAATTAATAATTTAATTGAATTAATTAATTAATTTAATTAATTTTTATTATAAATTTTACAAATAAAATTACTAAATAAATTATTTATTTTTTTGAATATCTTTAAAAATTAGATTAATAATTTAAATTAAAAAACAAATTAAATAAAAATAATTCTGTATAATATCAAATAGGTTATTACTTTTGTATCATTAAAAATTTATAAAGAAAATTATAATTTATGAAAATAGAATTAAATAGTACCTTTTTTTTTTTTTTTTACATTTAATTATAAATAATATTATACTGTATATTAATAGAGTATAATAAATTTGAGATTATAATAGTATAAGTACTTTTGATTATGAAATTTTTATGATTAAAATTATAAGTATATATTAAAACAGGGAATAGTTAAAATTCTGTTATAGAATTATCCAAATTTAATTAATATAATTGAAATATATTTTACTAGGCTTGTATTTTTCAATTGAATCATTAGTTGTAAAAGTTGATTTTATCGGATTGAGAAATTCTTCAAGGTGATGATCATTTATAATGTTATAACTTATGATAGGTACACATTACATAATCTTATGAACACAATCTTTATCAAGCTTAATTTTAATTTGTTTACTTCAAATGATTAATTTACTAGCAATTAAATGAAATGAATCGTTCCCTTTTCGCTTTTACTCAAGAAGAGAAAAAAAAAGATTTACGCGTTATACAATCACAAATAATATTATTCTGAATAAATTAATAGGCAAATTGACTGCGATAAAAAAAACCAATCAAAAAAAAAGTAAAAAAAAAACTAGGTGTGAAACCGCAAAGCCGTTCGCCGTAGTCCGTTGCAAAAATTTTATTTTTCGTACTTACACATATATATTTTTATATATTTTTCTCTTATATCGTGATCTGATCCGAATAAGTTAAAAGTTCTTTGAATGCTCACTCGGATCAATCTCGGATCTCAAAACATTTTTCTGAATTAATACGGTTAGAGTTCAATTAAAATCCCTTGATATCATTGATTCTTACCTAATTACACATTTATTATTTGAATCTCCAAATCGAATTACACAACTCAACTTATTGTTTCAAGTTTTTTTTATCTCCCTTTGTTTAAGATAACCAAACCAAGAGCGAGATCGGTTGAACCAAGAACAAATTCCATTTTGAACATGAAATGTATGCGAATAAACATAATACGGGAAACCCGATATTGTTGATCAAATCGATTTATTGGTTCAACAAGTAAACTTTAAATTACAATAAATTGATTTGTTATGTTTCCCGTAGATATTGTCTAAAAAAAAATAATTTTTTTTTTTTTGAAAGAAAATCTTTTTTAGGTACTAATTATGATACGATGAAAAGTTTGGTCTTTTGATGTATTTTATGCATTATTTGGCATCTATGAAATAAGGTTTCATGCGTCACCAAATTATTAAGCGTGTAAATCATAACAATACCTTTACAATTTTTTAATGTGTTATACCATTATTGTTACTTGAAACAACAAAGACAAAAAAAGACAAATTGGCTTCAAAAAAAAAAAAAAAAAAATGCAAACGAGTAATTATTTTTAGGGCTCAGCCAACTCCACTTTTTCTAAAAATTATCCAAAACTGAATGGTTTGATTGGATTAGCAACACGATTCTAACGTAAATCAACACATTTGTAATCACTATGAAGAAAATATCAAATTACCTAAAAAAGATTTCTTACTTCGAAAATCAGAGAACGTTTATAGGTCGTTCTTTGTTTTATTATGTAACCAAATTTTATATAAATAATCCAATAATTCAATTTAAGGGGGGGAACGATTATAAACAATCGTAGATTTTCGTGAAATTCTAGGAGTTTTTCGTCATCGCGCAAGCAACACTCTCCCTCCTTAAAACATGTTTTACTATGTGAGGAGAGCATTAACCAAATCAATTTGGAATGGGTCGACTCAATATAAATTATTTATTATTATGATTCAAAATAAGAAATAAGGATCATAATACTAGACAAGGTAAGTCAATATTTGAATGAATGAAGTTATAAAATAAAATTTCATTTTATTTTATTTTCAATCCAATGACAAAAAAAAAATTGCAAAAAGAAATAAATGCTGGATTCAATTGGAAAAATCGAAAAAAAAAAAAAACATTACGGCAAATCATGTATGCACGAGCTTTCCTTATTTTCCATATATAAGAATATCATTATATGATTTATATTATGTAAAGACATTTTTTGTCAATTTTCTCTTGGAGTACAGAGTACAAGTAATAATACGTCTTACGCAACCTTAAGGGATGTGATTTCGAATACCTTACATGTGAATCCAGAATCATTCTAACTTTTAAAATTTCTGTGTAATTATTTAATTCGTTTTTTTTTTTTTTGCTGCATCTTTTTTTTTTTTTTTTTTAATAATAAAGTACAAAATTTCAAAAATAACCAACTGCCATTTCCAACAGTTTTAATTGTTATTAATTAAATTAATTTCTGCATACATTCATAAATTATTTGGTAAAGGATTCGGATAAACTGGGACTGGTGAAACAAATAATAATATTCGACTATTTCTCAAAAGGAATATTTGATGAGAGATGTAACGATTTACATGTTTAAAGATCCTACCCTCGTAAGAGTAAAATAGGTACATGTGCTTGAACTTAATAAGTTTGTATTGGGGGTAAAAAAAGATTTCGAAATTCCCTTTATCCTTGAATTCTTTTTTTCTTTTTCTTCTTTTTATTTTTCAAATATTTGACCTCGTATCACCATTCATTCCAAAATTTACCAAAACAATATCAATGATTTATGGATTTTATTTCCTGATTTGAAACTTTTTCATTTTAATACACGTCTATTTTGATTATTTTCGGAAAACGCATGGTTCATTAAATACATGATCCTCATCTTAGATTTGCTCAAAGGTTAATCAGTTGATCATTGATATGGTGACAAACGAGGTGATTACAATAGTTCAAAAAGTCGTTCACGTTCATCCTAACCGTTTTCAATTCATTAAACGGGGCACTCTGCTGGACATGATTGTCAAGTTGGTAACGTGATTCAGGCACGCCATATCAATATGACGTGCGTTTGAGATACAGTATAAAGAAAACGAATCGAGTTTAATTTATCGTCAATATGAATTCTTTGTTTGAGAGTATTAGATATATTATGTTCGTTAATGAAAGAACAGCATGACATGAATATTCAGTCGCAAGAACATACATATTATTTAATATTAACACATGATGTCATTTTAATGGCCCGATGCAATTAATGAAACAATACATATAATAATGTATGTATGTATTGTTTAACAATATTTGTTCGAATTTCGAATTTTTTTTTTTTTTTTTTTTTTTTTTTCCTTTAGAGTTTCAACCCTTGAAAAGATCGCCGACCAACCGAAAGTTTCATGACCATATAAGTCAAAGAAATGACTGCATTCGATCCCAAAACTTTTGACGAGATGCACATGTTCTTTTAAGAAGGATTTAAATATAGAAGAAATGTTTCTAAAGTAATTGTTCCAAACGGATAAAAATATCGTTCCAAGAATAAAATTAAACTTGGAAAACAACAACTGTTTGTCAAACATTTATGTAAGAAGACTACATACAAACAAGTGGTTTGAAAATAATTTGAAATTTAATAACGGTTTGTTTTGATCTTTGTATTTTAGTAGTGGTGTTTGGTGTTTGGGAGGTGGTTGTTGTGTTTAATACATTAAAGTGATAGTCTGAATTTTGAGATGATCGTCAAAGCAATCAAGTAAACATACGTAAAAGGAAATTTCTTTAATTACAAAAAAATTCAATGGACCATAATCAGTTAATGGTGGAACAATGAGATGATGAATTGGTCAATCATTTTTGTTGAACAATGAATTCATGAAACACGGTAGATTATTTACATGAGACTGGTTTACATTTTCGGGTAAAAGAACGTGAGAGTATAAGGTCAACGTTAGATAATACAAAAATCTGGCAAGGTCCTTCTTTTAAGCCTTTGCTTTTTGATCACGTCGGAGTTAAAGGTGTTTGGGTCGACGCACTCTGACCGCAACCTAATCATCACCTGAAGATCATGACCAAAAAATCGAAATTTGTTAATAATGTGTATCTTTTCCCGAAAGAACAGGGAGAAAGTTCATTCTGTTCATCATCATCTCGTGAAAATTCATAAAGTGGAGAGGAATTTTATCATTGTGTGATGACTTACGCATCTGGAAAAGTCAGAAAATCTGTGCAATTTGCCGACCGGCAAATCTCATGTGACGAGCAACATTTTAAAATAATTCATTTTAAATATTGAAAAGATTTCCAAAAATTTTCAATACCAGATGGACCGACAGATTACAAACAGACATAATTCAACCCCGCATATGGTAATAATTATTACATTAATAGTGGGATAGGTTATAATAATAAACAAGGTTCGGAAAATTTTTTCATTTAATAATCGACATTCCGAACCGACAAGTTCATGATATCAAAGGTTAAATGTGACTCATGAGTAAGTGAATTTCTATTACAATGGAAATAATGAAACAAAAAATTTCGAGGATTGTTAAAGAACGTTTCAACCTATACTTTGTTCATCTCTTCACATTTTTGTTTTCCTGCATTATGAACAAAAAGGTAGCCTTCAATGAAATTTTTGTTTTGCATGATATGCATGTAATATAATGAATGCATTAGCTTGGAGAGGTTTAGCGGGGTCACTTCTTGTTGCCAAGATGTTATTTAATCATGACGATAGATGGATGTAAAGCCTTTCCTACTGCGGTGTAATGTTTATTTTAGATAATTTTTTTTTTTTGAAAAATTATGTCTAAATTAATTTGTTTCAAAATCGCTCCTACATAACGCCTACAGACATTTGAAAACGCGAGGGTGGGTAAAAAGAATTCATATATAATCAAAAAAAGTTACGGAGAAAATAAAATATAGAGTTTTTTTTTTTTCCAAAAAGAGATGTGTTTACAAAAAGTTAATTATAGAATTTGAAAAGGTCCTTTCAATAATGAGGTAAAAAGGAATATTAAAAGTTACGAAACCAAATTTAATTTCAAACAATCCATTTTTGATGTAATTCGAGGGAGGACGTCGCACAGGACGCACACCGTTTTCATGGGAAGTCCCAAAAAGAATGAAAGTAAAGTTTTTTCTTCCTTGGCTAAATGTGGTGCGAAATCTCCACGTTGTGGCAGAGATTTACAAAAGCTTGTTACGAGTCTTGTGAATTTTGTCGTTAAGGGTTATTTGTTAATACCCGTACTTGTTTCGTTACTGGTTCATGAATGTTCGTGTGGCATCATTAAGTAGAAAAAAAAAAAATTTATTTACTAAATTATTATTATTATTATTATTATTATTTTGTAACAATTAAACAATAAAGAAAACCTTTTTTTTATGCAAAGTTAAATTATAAAGGCAATTTGGCTGAATCAAAACTTTAATCGTCGTATAACTTGTTCATTGTCATTTAACAACCCAAATGAACATACATTTTACATTAATGTCATTGTGAGATCTTTATATTGTTTGAACGAAATTGTTCGCGGGTAATTTGCTTAAAAGAAAGTTTCTCAAGTGCCCGACTACCAAATTTGACATGATAATAATACGCAAAAAGCAATCATGCATAATTCACACAATAACACATTCACCAAATAATTCATTTGGTAAGAATCGCTGCGGCCAGTAATATCTAACAACGATTTTTGTAAGAAGCATCAAAAAAATTTCATGTACTCAATAGATCACCGAACATATTTGTTGCATAACCTTCAATTAAAAATTCTTTGTCAATCCGTGCATTTTTGATGAAATGCAATCCTTAAGACAAAGAATTGACAAGGATTTTTCAATTTTCCGAACCGATTTTTGGTCTCGGAACATATCAATGTCATGACAACCACCTTTGAACATTAGGTTCTTGAGTTTGGTTTAAAAAATTGTTTCAGTTTTTTTTTCATTGAAGCCGGTACCTCGGATCTTTTCTTTTTTGGAAGTGTCAGAGTTTTTTTTTTTTTTAAAAAAAAAAAAGGAAACTGAAAAAAAAAAAATTATTTTCGGCAATTTAATACAATGCATTAGTTTCAATTCACCTAATAAATCTATTTATGGTAAATAAATAAATAAATATTTTTTTTCCATTTGCTTACGATAATAATTTTACTAAATATATGACAGCTACGTTACACACAAATCTCACACCATCTGTTGTCGTTTGTGACAAAAGATGAACAAGTGACAATTGAAATATTTAAACAGTATGGCTTTTTTGGGTATGGCGAATGACCGACGAGTTTGAAATCCGGTTAAGAAACTTTTTTTTTCCTTTTCTTTTTTTATAGGAGCTTAACTTCAGTCGCTCCAACCAAGCCCACCATGTAAAAGGGCGTGTGATACGAAATTTGGCCCTTCCAATGAATCCATAAATCAATTGATTTTCTCCATATGAAAAAAAAAAAAAGGCACAATAATCCTAGTATAAGCAGGGTAAAGGCGGGAAATTAACTGAATAACGTAACCGTTTATTTTGTTTCGCCAACATGCTGTGTTGCACATTCAACATTCAATAGAGTATTGGTTAGTCAGTATACAGAAAGAATTTACAATTTTAGATTTAATTGCCGCCCTCTTTCAGTTTAAATTCTTTTATTTAACAGATCAGATCATCCTAAAGGTTTTCCTTTGTCTTTAATATAAATTATTTCCTTTTAATTAATATAATTTTTTATTATTATCATTATATTATCATTATTATTATTATTATTTTATTTTTACTTTTATTTATTTATTTTTATTTTTATTTTTTTCTATTATTGTTTTTATTGTTTTTATTACTTTATTACTTTTTATTATTTTTTCTATTTTATTTATTTTATTTTTAATTTTTTTATTTTTTTTTTATTTTTACATTACACTTTTTTTTTTTTGTACTTTTTTATTATTATGCCCCCACAATTGTTGAAAAAAAATTGTCATACGTGAAAATTTTTTTATCCAGTGACACATCCGTAAAAAAAACAATTCAAAATGGGCACATAAATAAAAAAAAAAAAAAATACAAATAAATAAATAAATAAATAATTAGTATAAGCCTAATACATACCAAGTTACAAACTGTTCCCTTATAAAAATTATTGTGCCAAATCTGTATCTTGTCGCTCAATCTGTGTATAATTATTCTCCCCCAACTACAACAACAAAAAAAAAAAAAAAAAACTTTTCATATTCATACCGAAAAAAAAAAAAGGTCACCAGTTTTGTTGTACGAGGACCACATAAAGTCGCTCAAAACAGACTAAGTGTAAAATTATCACACACAATTTCTCTCCCGACTTTTCGCACACGTAACGAAATTTTTTAGTATTTTAAGCGCTTATGATAAATGGGGAGTTTTCAGTCCTAAAAAAAAATATAAAAAAGCGTCCAGTTTTTTATGCCTCGTCTTTATTTCACTTTCATTTTGCAACAGCTTGTGTTTGCTGCGCTGCATAACAAAAGTACAACCTGTGGTGGTCTGTGTGTTTCGTTTACACTTTAACCTATTGATAAAAAAAAACAAATTTATTTTCTCTACAAAAAAAACTCAGACTTGTTAACAGTTGAAACGATTTTTAACGAGAAACACACAACTACACACGAACGTTTATATTTTCTCTACTCAAAAAAAGAAACGTATAACCACACACTCTAGCTTTTTTTTTTTTTTTAAAAAAAAACCTCACCTTTTAAAATAACTCTCCATTATCACCCTTCTTTTTACAAAAAAAACAAAATCCTCTACTTATCACACCACAAACTCTGTCTCTTTCTTTTACCCTTTCAAAAAAAAAAAAAAAATTTTGGCGATCTGTGAATTACAATTTTTTTTTCTTGGACCATTCAAAAAAAGATTTCCCCCTTTTTTTTTTTGTTGAAGACAAGAAATAAGAAATACACCAACACAATTCACGAAATAATTAACGAACTTAACGTCATAGTATAATTTATCTGTCATGACAACAACTGAACACATTCGAAATCCTTTGACTAATCATACAATGCCTTCACAGTCAAATGATATGCTCGGCTACGAAGTATATAATGATAACACCTCCCATGTTATATGTTCCGAGGGAGAGCCTTTATTTCATGAAGAGACGGGAAAGTACGATCTAGACACCGTTTCCGTGTTCGTCGCAAAATTATACCAGTAAGTTGGATCCTTTCTTTTTTTATTCCTTGTTATCCGTCTGAAGGGTAAATCGGCTCGAATGGGTTACTAAAGTCATTCGAGGATTCATGAAAAAAAAAAATAATATGTCTACTTACATGTTTTG